AAAGCCAACAAGGGCAAGGCAAAACCACAGGCAACCATTTCAACTTCAAACTAAACTGCTGCTATTACATGATCATCACGGCAAAATGCAATGCGGGTGCATGTTCGCTGATCATGTCATTTTATCTCTGTTCCCCTCAGGATTTCTCTCAATGCCAAAAGTGATTGCAAAAAGGGTCACTTCTCAGGGGGATCACAACTAAGCACACTTCAATCAAAGGCCCGAGCGACCCTTGATGTGCAGTTTACAAGAATAATCCTGGGTTGCCTCACAAAACCCTTTTAGTCCAACGTCTAATTTAAAGTCAGCGTGCACCCTGATATAGATGCTGGACCACATTTTGCTGTATAGAGCAGCGCAGTGTGTGTCATGCAGCACATGAGAGTTCAGCTGGCACCGGTCAAAACATTCCTCTGACAGACCACACAAGCTAACCACTGTATGCCGCTCAAAGGCTACAACAGGAGCTACAAAGAGCCCAAAGACGGAGTAAGTAACGGTTGCCGGAGGAAGATGAGGATGGCACCGCCAGAACAGGAGAGAAGTGAAGACAGACCAAATAATCTGGGATTTCATCGCAAGACTTACAGAGTTGAGAGTCAAAGTTTGCTCCATGTATGGCGCGTGTGTTTGGCTTGTCCTCAGCGCAGCTCCACACGCCTTCTGTGTGTAAACCAATCCATCCGCTGGAGCTCCGCGGCGCGTGTGTGAGTCGGTGCATGCAGTGTGGAGACAGAGCTCAACGGGGGAGGAGAGAGCGCGCAGGAGAGCTGAATATCCTGACAGCTACTGGGAGTTCAGAAGCTCCCTCTCTCTTCCTCTGCTGCCGGTTCCCCTCTCTCTCTCTCTTTCTCCCTCCCTCTCCCTTTGCTGTAAATTCCTCCTCTTTCCCTGTGTCTTCATGGCTTCTCTTGGTTTTGTGCTACGCCCACAAGATAGATCTATCACCCGTAGGCGTGCAAACAAGAGATAATGTCTCCACACCTCAGAGGAGAGGAGAGAGGAAAAGGTGTCCAAACATTTCCAAGCAGGCAACAACCACCATAGTAATAAAACAACATTCTTAAAGCAACTGTTGCACGAAACAGCAGCTTGCTAATCGTGTCACCTCTGTAAAAGGTGAACTCTATCAGGGCGCAAAGCATCTGTTTATGTAATTAGTAAGAAATAGGCTCTTAGTGGAGTGCTTGGAGCTACAAAGAACCACATTCTTATACTGTACATGCCCAAACACAAGGGCAATCTGACAGTCAAAACATTATTCATAACATATGCAGGGCAGGCCAATCAGCACCAACTCAGAATTGTACAGCAGTTTCCCCCTCTACTGAACCAGAAAAACTAATGGAAACGCATTAAGAAGCACAAGATTGCATATGCTGTGCCGAATTGGTGTGCAAAATGCAAAAGCTACGTTTCTGAGCCTTTGTAATGTGAAGAGAAATAACATGCATTCGCTCATTCCTGCTCCAGCCGCTGTGACGCACACCGCAGACCATGGAAAAAGCAACACGGCCGCACGTGTCCAAATTGTTCTGGGCTCGTCCACAACATGCAGCGAGGCCAGATGCAGAGGTTATCCACGAGGGTCTGCCCTGAGCACTGACGGCGAACTCCAAAATATCTTCACGGCGTCCTTGTGAGTCCAGATGCCAGCACTTAATGCCAGCTTATCACGTACCGTCATGGGAACAGTCTCTCAGACCAGCATTCATACCAATATCGATGTTAGAGTGCTGCAGAAAACCAACAACTTCTACTCTTCCAGTTCGTCATCACTATATGTTGAAGCAAGGAGTTGTTAAACGGCTTAGAGTAGTTCATGCTTGATAGGTGGATTGTTCATTATCTCTATTATCCCTGAACTAGAGCACAGCCAGAAGTTCAATATCCGGCTTCTATTTCCTGCCCGTTGCTGCATAGAAGTTGTTTTAAGAACATCATTGGTGATGCCATTGGATATATTAGTTTGCTGTAGCAGGGGCTTTTAGAAGTGCACCATCAAAGCTCTGAGCCTGAACCCAGGGTGAAGCTCTGCCCCTGAAACAAGAGCCCAAGGGCAAGTGCTAGGTGAGGATCCAATTGCCTTTAACAACCATTAAACATCCCCAATGGTGGTATTACCAGGATAGCCCCAGTAAAATGCCATAAACAGCACTACTCCAATAGATGTAGTCTGAATATATATCAGCTGAGTATAAATCTGAAAGGTGAGTATAAATCCTCTTTTTTATTTCTATCATCAAAATGTAAAGCTAATTTTGATTTATTTTCAATTTAGAATATATTGTGACACTCCTAATAGTTACATAGTGTCCACGAGAAAGACACATCTTTCTGTCAGTGAAATATCTCCATCGGGACATAAGATGTAATCCTTTTACAAAACCAACTGAAAGGATCGTTATCAAAACAGTTTGTCTTACGCCCTGCAGGGATGTTGAACTTCTCTCTTGACTGTTTCAACAGCGGCAGTTGATACGGCTCAGTTCAAACAAACAGTAGACACCTTTGTTTGCACAGCAGTAATGTGTAACTGTACAGAAATGGATCCCTACTAGTGTTTTAAAAATGTGTGTTTACCTTGCACAAGACAGTTAAACATTCTTCTGTTTATTTTATAAAATGGGGTTTTGTGACCAAGATAAACTTCCACCAATTAGCAATAATTCTAGCTTGCTCAATGCATATTTACAAAACCTGTTGAGAATGATAAGATTATACAGCTACATCGTTTAAAAAGCCAGTTCTAACTAGGGCTGCTCGATTATGGCAAAAATCATAATCTCGATTATTTGGGTCAATAATTGATATCACGATTATTAAAAACGATTATCCATTTACTTTGAAAACGTGAACAGTATGTTTTAAACAGTTAATTACCCTGCACTTTAAGTATAATTCAACTGAAAAACCATTTTAAAAAAAAATCGTTTTATTTCGATGATGTTGTTTTCATAATCGTTGCAAACAAAAATCGTAATTGCAATTAAAATACGATTAATTGAGCAGCCCTAGTTCTAACAATGTATGCCTAAATTCCCCTCATAGGAATAATAATTATAGCAGCATCCCAATCCAAGTCCAGTTCAATACAACACTAATGTTCATTAAGTAGACAACATCATTCAACTTTTTATGAAGCATTAATGCCCAAACTAAGCTTAAAAGTCAGTCTATTGGCCATTTTTTCGGTAGCCAACATGTCCAAGCATGATAATGTACAGAAATCCTGTTACCCACCATCGCACTTAAAAGGCCAGTGGCTTTTATTTCTCCAATACTGACACTTACAGAAACATGTGAGACCAGCCTGGGCCTGTCATAGCAGCTTCTGTGTGAAGTCCAGGTATCACAATTAGAGAAGAATAACACAATAGAACAAGTGTGAAGCATCCCACCTTCTGCCCAGCCAATGAGAGTTTGCTCAAATTGTTGTGTGAGGAAGAAAACTGATTACAGCCCGAAGCAGTTCTTTACGTTTTAAAAGTAAAACCATTTGTGGAAAACAGCTGCATCAGTTGGTAGGGATGATTGTGAAGTGAGGGGTAATTATACTCTCGCTAGATGCATATTTGCAAGTGCTGGGAAGACATAACCATAGCAACTAAATATAATGAGATGGAAAAAGATTGTAAAGTGAACTGTGTACATTAAGCGACTTGGAGCACATAAACAAATCAAAACTTGTTTAAGAAGACACGAAAAAAGTAGCCCACGCAAGTTTCATAAAATGTCAATGTACAGTCCAGATACGGTGGAGAATTATTGCGTAAACCCACATTGAAATGAAGCCTAACAGTTGTGTTGTGCAGCTGTCACAACCTTTTATAGCCATCTTTATTCCTGCAGCTGAGCATGGGGCAGGCCTGCACTCAATATGGAGCTTTTCAGCAACAGTTCTGTTTAGTGTGTGACCAACCTGAGTACAATGAGTGGTCTGCGGGCGTGTCTGTGACTAATGCGTAGGTATACAAATACAGTACGGTTTGTTTTTGTGTCTGTTTCGGAGCAATTATGAGATGTGGGACCACTGGTGCTTGTGTTTTCTGTGAATCTGAATCAGTGTGCATGAGTAATGCGTGCACGAAGAGACCGCGGCTTTATTATGAGCACGATATTCATGCGTGCAGCAGTGCTCATTAGCGAGGCCAAACAAGCAGGACCACGCCTCTGGTCCACACAAAGACCACTTTGTGAGCCCCCCCCCCCCCCCCACTCATGCCACAAGTGCAGCAGCAAAACGCAGAGTTCAAAGCAGCGGAAATGAAAGGTAAAAAAAAGTTGTGCAGAATGAGAAAGGGGCGGGGGGGGGGGTTATTCAACTGAATGTCCACAGTAATAGGAGACAGTAATGTCACATGATGGTTTTCCAATACATTTTGTTGAAGTGGGAACACACACGTCATCATTACGATATATGACATCATCAGCATTTAGATTCTGGACAAGTATAACTTTCCCTACGCACTTCTGTCAACCGATGGGTACTATCTCCTGGGAAAATGAAGGCTCTATTTATGGCAAAAGGGAAGTGCATTAACTACTGCAGCGACATGACAGGATACACCATGGGATGGTAGAGATGGGTCTACCAGTAGAGCTTCCACTACGATAGCTATCGATCTCGCCAATCAAGCTGTTTACATGGTTTACAAGATTACATGGTCATGGCGAGTCACGGAGGAGGAGAGTGAAGGAAGAGGAATCCCAACCATCCCAAAAATGAGGAAGATTACCAGGCATTTTCCTTGCTTTTTATTCTACCGTCAGCTGTTTGAAAAGATGTTGAGCAAATCCTGCAGGAAGTCTTTTTTTCTTTTGCTTTACTCTAAAATAGAATTGTGTGTATTTTGGATATGGCTTTGTTTTGAATAATGTGTCTATTTATATAATGTATGTGTTGCTTTATTGAGCTTGCAGCAGACAATTGGACAGCAACCCAGTTGTCTGTATTCAAACCTCTAGGGAAACAAATACAATACAAACATAGTGCTTACCTCGAGGTCATCCAGGGATCTTGCCAGGCTGAGCCGTTTGACAGAGCGGCGTTTAGATGCACGGTTAACACCCATACCCCAAAACCTGGAGACCTATGAGGATAAAGGAGACACAAGTGTAAGACAGAAAGACTAATACACACACCCTCATTCTTTAAATCTTTATTTTTGTATTTTTGGATCTTGCCTACCCCCAGTTAATGTCTCAGCCTACAATAATAGGTCCAAATTAGGGGAATTCAATTCAATTTAATAACATTAAATTATATTTGTATTGCTTATAACTCCTCCATAATGCATCTCACTAAAGGATAGCAAAAAGGACAACATGGAATCATTTAGAAAATATTGTGCAAATATAATGTTCTTCACTCATAAGTGTTCTGTAGCATTAGCATTTAGTTACATATCTCAAAAAGTCACATTTTACCTTCAAGACATATTAAGTGTTAACTATGCTTTTATGACTGTAGTCTGAATAATGAAAGATGGTAGTGACGGAAAATGTAACTATAACCAAACGTAGACTTTGAAGTTTGTTGGTATTGAAGAACATGGTTTGGAATTCTGCATTTTTTCACTAGATTTGACAGATTTCCTCGCTAAAGATGTGCATTCATGATAACATCTCTCTCTGACAACATGCAGATTGGTCATATTAAGTTCATCTGAACATATACAACCCTGTTTCAAAAAGTATAGAGACACAAGAACTTATTTGGCAGTCAGACAGTCGGAACAGAACCATGTGTTTCTGCCTTTCACCAGCCTCTGCTATTCCTATGATTGGAGAGGCCGTGTCTAATGTTTGAAAGGGAGTTTAAGAATTGCAGATAATTACCGCTGCATGACATGGGCTCTACTCTGTAATTTGCCTGGCTTCCTGAGCGAGATTGTCTCCTCTCTGATCTAATGCAAGCTGAGGGGACAGGGATGCAATCTGCTTCTGATTTATAAACACAGGCCAAATACTTACTTCAAGGGGAGAAAAAACAACATTAAAAACTGTAAGGTGTATTTAAAACAATAAAGGTTTTCAGCTGACTGTGACCCTAATTGCACTGGCTATATTTACAAAAATATGTCTGTTGATTAAAATGTTATCAAGATGGCAGTAAGTACAATAATTGGTCAAGTAAAATATAAAAAATATATAAATTAAGTATTTCAGTTTGTAAGTTTCAAATAGCACTCAACAGACTGAATAAAAAATCTGTGTCTGATACAGATGAAAAAATATCATTCCCTCAAACACTGAAACTTCAACATCATTCAATATAATCACAATTAAGTCATTGTTTTCCTACAAGATGCAGCCCTATTTGCATACCTGCTAATGAATTACATTTACCCCATTAGCAGAAATAAACACGTTTAGAGACGCTGCGTGCATAGCATACTGATCTTGATTTACTGAGGGAGCCACATGTCCAGGTCTACATGGACACACAGGGCCATCTTGTGGGCAGAAACAAAATCCCTCCCTCTGCACACTTCTGACAATGACATCATTGACTCAAAACAGGTGCTTTCTGCGTTCATTTCACACTCGGCACCAATTGACCGTTGAAAAAGTGGGATTGTATTTCGTTTTAGGTTTCACTAGAGCCAGGCGTACTTACACCCCCTCGGTGTCTGGAAACTCAACTCCGTGTGACCATTTAATACTTCCTGTGTCGCTGTGTTGAACGTGAATGAAGTACAGAAACAGATGTCCTACAATGGAACTATTTCGTGTCACTGTGTGTCAGGATTTTCCAATAACGCAGAGCAGAGAAATACAGATAGATACAGTATTATAAGAGTCAGTTTTCAAAATTCTAAAGTCACAAATCTATTTTGCGGTAAGGACAATTGAGAGGGGTAAACGTTTCCTAATATAATCAAAACATGAGTCTACCCATAATATTTTCATTTTTTTAACTGCAGCAAAGATAGCAGAGCATCTACTAATATATGTTATTGTTTACGCTGTTTTGGCACCGACCAACTGGATTATGTCAATCAAGTCATTCATTTTGACCACAATGTTGACACCCTTATGTTTTCCCAAGAGGATTAACAGAACAGTAAGCAGATCAAATGTATTGCTGCGCCGCAAAATCCTGTTCTTGTTAGACTTTCTACTCTTGCCTTTGTTCTGATTAATTCAAATATATTTTTAGACTTCTCAGAGAAACAAGACCAACAAAAAAACTCTGTTTAGTTTAACTAGTTACAACCAGTTGACATTTGCAACCGTTAATAGTTAATTAATATGTTATTATTTTTAAGGGGCTGAGATCAACTTATTTTGAGCACAGAGATCACTGGCAAACCTGATCAACTTTTCTTGTTTCGAAATGTTTGTTTTACAGTAAATACAAAAATAAAAGTTGTTACTCACATTTTTGGTATTATGGTTTTTCTGCTGTTTCTCCCTCTGGTCGAGAAACATTTTGGTCCATTCCTCTCTGGGAGGGAGCATCATGACCTCTGCTGAGCAGTACCTGTCTGAGGGGATCTGGCTCATGGGGGGGGGCAGGTTATTGGTCCCGGAGCCCAAGCTTATGCTTGAGGACCAGTTGTTGGTCACCTGAGGGTCCGCCTCACCGTGGAGGACTTTGGGCCACTTTGCCTTTGGCCACCACCTTTGGCTTCCTCTGAGCGGGTCTACAAAGGAGTTCGATTTTTTACCCGAAGGCAGAGGAGGTGGTGGGGGCTTGAACTGGAACTCCAGTCTGGGCGGGGGACCCCCATAAAATCTATGAAGAGAATCAGGGCCAGGTAGTGACTCAGAAAGGGAATGTGTGCTGGCACTGTTCTCTGGATTCAGTTTTTCGCCATTCTTGGAGAGATTTATTGGGGTGAGGTCTTCAGCTAGAGGATAATCCCATGGACAGCTGGGGAGGGTGGCCCCAGGGGGGCTTTGGATTGCAGAGGGGAAATCCCTGTCCGCTATTTCCTCAGGGGGGGACGCATTTTCAATTCCACTGTCCCCATTGCTACTAGCACTGCCTTCTTTGCCATTACTTCCCTCTTCCTTGGCTTGCTGCTGACCCTCCACGTCCAGTTTCACCCGAAGCCTCTCCACAGCCTCCCCCAGGTCACTGTACAGGACTGTGACAAAGTGGAGAACATCTTGGGGGGTCTGAGGGAATTCCAGGCACCCCAAGGCGTCTGGATCTGAAGTGCAATCGAAGGCAAAGCGTCCAGCAATGCCCGTATGGTCCTCATGGTTCCCCAGCTCTGGGTCGATGAAGAAAACATGGCAGGAAGCCCGCAGAGGAACGCCCTCTGGCACACGCCCATTTATTATGTGTGCTGTGGTGACCAGGCAGAAAAAACGTGGGTCTTCGGCACACACAGCCCCTAAAACCAGGTTCTCAGCAGGAAAGGCTGCCAAAACAGCTCCTGCGTCGTCACAAAGTCGAATACAGTCATACATGACTTTCATCATCACCAGAGTGTGGGTGTTCTGCTCTGTTCCCAACAGTCGTATTCGCTCCCGAATGGCTTTCAAACAGTCCTCCTCTGACCCTGTAGTGTTCAAAATAAGCTCTGTGGAGCTCAGATAGCCCACCACCAAGGTCATGTTTAACATACTCCAGTCAGAAATATTTTCTTCTGTGTCTGTAAACACAGAGTCTGTGTCCGCCACTCTGGACATGTCCTCTTTTTGCTGCGCAGCTAAAGAGTTCCACTGCTGTGACCATTGGGACATATCAGGCTCTGACACCGGCCTCTGTCTGGGGCTGATAGCCTGACATGGGTTGAAGGAGGAGTTGCTTGAATCATATGAGATAGTGCGGAGAACACCTGCCTTTTGGAACATACCATTTTTCTGGGCAATCCCAAATTTTGCGTCATTAAGAATGGGGTTCCCCATCATTCGGCTTGCAACATGCACCACTAACTGCAGGGGTCCTTTGCAGCTGCCAATCAACTGCACCACCGCCTCATGCAAAGCAGTGGACACGTCAGTTCCATTGATGGCCATGATGTGATCCCCCTGTTTGAGTCCCACTAGGTCAGCAGGGCTTCCCTCCAGGATGCCACTTAGGAGACATGGCCTCTGCCCCGTGATAGTAAAGCCATATCCTGCTCGTCCACGTATGAGCTCCACGCCCCTCAGATCCCCGGCTGCATTTAAATCCAGACGCCTCCTCGCGCCCTCGGGCTGTCCCTGTATCCTCATCTTTGCTGTAGGGTGCCCAGCGTGTGGGAATTGAAACACATGCACGTTGCCAGCACTATTGTGTTGTCGTCATCCTACACAGTGGGCAAAAAAAGATACACAATTGAAAAGCTGTTTGTTTCACATACATGGAATTACACAAAAATCTAGAATTGAAGAATTATCACACAGGATTGCACAGTAGTTCAGTTTCTTATCGGCTTTCAACAGAGAAACATTGTGATGAAATACAAATGTAAAGCATTATACTAGTGCAGTGACACTAGTCGCTTATTACTATTTATTACTTAATCTGCCAAATTCCTGGTCAATTAACTGAGTTTGGTGTTGTCAAAATAGTGAAAACACACATAAAACCAGTTTGCAGATATAATGTCCAAAAGACAAAACAAAGATATTTAGTTTACAGATATTTTACAATAAATAAAGAAGGAAATCGTCACCTTTGATACGACTATAACTAGTAAATGTAACCTTTTCTGCTCAAAAATCACCCTAAACTAATATTCAAGAATAAAAATGGTAGAAGATTTATCAAAGAAAGACCTCATATTTCCACCTTTACATTACATAGTATATTAAGATTATTATGAAGTTATTTTGTATTATTAATACATCTTGTAATAAGACTATTTGTGAAAAAAAACAGAATATCAAATAAACTTTGCAACACACACACACACACACGCACGCACGCACGCACACACACACACACACACACACACACACACACACACACACACACACGCACACACGCACACACACTTTAAAGCCAACATCAAAATGAATCATAGTGTATCTTAAGCTCATCTTAAACTCTTACTTAAATGAAATAAAAAATCATTATCAATCTTACTTTAGCAATTATCTGTCAGAGATAAGACACAGAAAGCTGTTATGTCCCTACACAGCTTGCAGAGGGGCCACCCCCACACCCACTCCCCCAAACAGTGCCAGCTGGCTTCCTACTCACCAGCAACACGAAATGACAACCAGATTTTTTTATGGTTTTGGTCAACCACTGTTTTTAAATGTTCAAATACTCAACTCACCACATGAGTTAAACATGTTCAAACACCGGAAACACCTGACGAAGCTTAGTGGCTTCTTGGTTTTTAATACAGTTCAAAATAGCAAATCTTAAACCAATGTTACGCTAACCCCGAAGCTCGCGCTACAATGAGGGTTTGTACGGACAACTTTTTTAATTACCTTTCTCAGCGGTGAAAAGTTCCAGAAAAACTCCGACGTACTTTCATTCACGCTGCTTAACGTCCAAAAGTTTACATTGTATACATTACACGTCCATTTCGTAAACATACAAGGCAATATCTCCCTGCCGTGATTCAATAGTCCATATGGCAACTAGCGAGCGCACCACCAGCCTCCATTCACTCGCTGTGGAGATCACAAACATGATCACAAAGCGTCTTTCATTGTAACCATGACAGCGTAACGTCTCCGCAACATGTGACGCCTCTTTCTAGCCAATCACAATGCACGTCATATTCAATATTCAAACGATTGGAGTGACGCTATTGGCTGATAGTGATGACAGTTGACAGTGTTTATTTTACAAGTAAATCTAATTAAACTCCAATATTATTATTTGTAATAACAAGTGACACTTAACTATAGTTCTACTGGAGTTAAGAAAAAACTGTAAGCTCTATAATTATACCGAAAATATGTCACGAAGGGGCAGGTTACATTGTAAAACGCACACAGATGTTCATTCTTGATACGATATTCCTACAAAAATACAAATTAAGTCTTACCCATATGATTTTGCTGTTCACTGCGGGATATCTGAATTCATTTTCCTGTGGGCAACCCTCTCTTTCTTCCACACTGGAGCAGCAGCACTTGAATGAGGTTTCACTGTAAACAATAGGTTACCTCTCTGGTCAAAGGGCTGCAACGGTTTCATACTGTGTCACATGGCTTTACTACATGTGCAGCAGGCCACAGGTTTGCAAACAAGAGGGCGTGATATCCTTACGAAAATGAACTATAGTATTACTATAGTATACAATAAGAGTTGTATAGTATCCTATAGTAAGTTTGTAGAGTTCTATAGTATTTTTCACCAGCTATCGTATTACTATAGTCTTTTCTTTAGTGCCATTTTACTAGCTATAGTAGCCCTATAATATTTCAATAGTAATACTATATCTAGATCTTTGTAGTATTCCTATATTATTTTAAATAGTATAACTATAGTATAATATTTAGTGTTTCTGTAGTTGTTTTTTGAACACACTATAGAACACTCCTATAGTAATAGCATGATATTGTCATAGTGAATGCATATTATTATATAGTGTTTGTAAAAGTATTACCATAGTGTTTTTTTTGGTGTTTCTGTATTAAGACTATATTATTTTAAATAGTACTACTGTAGTATAATATTTAGTGTTTCTGTAGTTGTTTTTTGAACACACTATAGAACACTCCTATAATAGTATGATATTGTCATAATGAATGCATATTATTACCATAGTGTTTGTAAAAGTATTACACTCCTAGAATTAATGTGTCATTTTTTTTAACACACTGCTGTGTCAAAGGCAATTCAACACATTCAGTGTCATTTCTGAACTATTTTACACACACATGTGTGTACATAGAAAAAATAAAAATGCACATAGTCAACACATTAGTGTTGACTAGCACTGGGCTAACATTGGGCACTAACATTGGGCACTAACATTGGGCACTGTCCTGCCCCAATCACGGTAGTAAGGCGACAACAGGTCACTCATAAAATGTTTCTGACTATTGTCGCGTTATATGTTAGAAATTGCACAACACTTGAAATTGTCATGCCGTGCTGCAGATAATATCGACGTGTGATATGTCGGGACGGATCAGAACCGCGACACAAGGCCCTTTACAGTTAACTCTCCGAGGTGCTAGGCGGTAACGACATTGCTCACCACGTAACCCAGCCTTGCCTCTACGGCATTGGAAGTCAGATATGGCGCGTGCCCTTCCGGATTTGACGGGCACGCACTGGCGACGCAGAGTGGTATCTGGTCAACGGGAATCGTCGTTCTCGTTCTATACTTTAGAGGGAACATGTGTTATATTTTAAACGGTCATATTCTCATCACCGACTACAAAATCTCAGGTCTTTGTCCATTTGACATCACATGTGCATGATGATTAATTTATTTGAAATCACGCTCATTCAATGCATAAAGCGTGACATTCTCTGATATAGGTTGCGTCGGAGGTGAAGGTGAAAGGCGATCGGTTGTTCATCGGATCCCTATCGTAATTTGTATATCGACGATTACGGATAGTTATATTTACGGGCTAACTTCTTACTAGTGTCTTTTCTCACATTCGATGTAATTCAAATTCTAATTTTATTATTTATATATTTTTTTTCTTCTTTGCCGGATTTCATTTATTAACAGTAGGCCGTCCGATCTGAGTTTGTTATCAATCGACAAGTTGTAACGTTTTGTATAATAAATTCAAATTTTTATACATAAATCTGGGGATCGAAACGAGTGTAATACTGTTATATAGACGAGTGAAACAATTTTTTGCAAAACAAAGACATATATTGACAGGGATCTCGAATCTGAGAGGAGGGCGACTGTAGGGTAGGAGGTGTCGTCGGTCTCCACTTTACCGTCAACCCTGTAAACTAACTGTCAACCTGTCAACTTTTTACTATGTAAA